TAACGAGCCGCACCCAGCGGGCCGGGCTTCCTCGGCGACATCTCACCACAACCTCAGCATGCTGCTGGGCACCCTGAGGGCTGCACTAGGACATCCTTCCCGTCCTACCAGTCCCCCCAGCTTTAGGGCTGTGGCCGAGATGTCGCCGAGGAAGCCGGGCCCGCTGGGTGCGGCTCGTTACCCGCACGGCAGGAATTAGCAGTGCTGCGGCGCCAGCCCCATACCGTCCGCCCTGCCGACGCACCTTAAATCCCAGCCCACCACACCCGGGGCGCAGAGCCGGCAGCCGTGGGCACCATGGAGCAGCAAGCCTGTCTCCTCCTCCTCCTCCTCCTCTTGCTCCCCATTTCTGCACGGTCAGTCCCGGCCCCACACGTGCCTGGAAGAGAGGAGCAGATGGGGACAGGTGAGTGTGTGGGGGCACTTCCTGAGGAGGGGATGCTCAGGGAGCCCAATTGGTGCAAGCAGCAGTGGGGCTGTGGGGGTGGGGGCTGTGAGGTCTGACCTATGAGGCTGCTCAGCCCTGGTCACTGTGTCCCTCAGCAAAGCCCGGGTATTGTCACCACATCTCGGAGGTGGAGAGCCTTCTGGACCAGGACTGCAGCTCGTGCCACAAGAACGCCTCCTGCTCCCACTGTGCTGGCGACTCCGACTGTCCTGGTGCCACCAAGTGCTGCCCCGGCAAGTGCGGCCACACGTGCCAGCAACCGGTGCTCGGTGAGGGCCAGCGGTGTGCAGTGTGTGGGGGTCTCAGTGAGGGGGGGGGGTGAGCTTGGAGCAGTGGGAGGGGGCTCACAGATGCCATCCCTGAGCTCTGCCCGCGCCAGGGGTGAGGGATGTGGTTTCCTGGGGAGGTGGGTGCAGACCTGGCTCTGGGCAGGGAGGGGTTCGGTGCCACGGGGACCCGGAGCGCTCTCCCCTTGAGCCTTGTCCTCGGCTCACTTCAGCCCTTGGGACTGCCCAGACTTCTGCTACCTGCCCTCGGTCTGCGGGAACTGCAAGGCGCTCTTCATCCGCTTCTTCTACAACGCGTCCAGCCAGCAGTGCGAGGAGTTCATTTACGGCGGCTGCGGTGGGAACAGGAACAACTTTGAGACCGAGCGGGAGTGCTCCCAGGCCTGCTCCCACCTGCGCTCCCAGCCACGCCAGCGGGGCTCCCCCCGGCCCCTGCCCCGTGGGGAGACGCTCCCCGCAGCCCTGCTCCCAGCCCCACACCTCTCAGCTCCGGGTGCCCAGTAACACCTCCCCGCCGTGCACGACCCCAGCCTGGGCAGATATCCCTGTCCCCATGGCTGGGTGGTGGTGGTGGTCACGGTGGCCGTGCTGGGGCCGTGGCTTGCCCGGGAAGCATGGCAAAGGGCTGAGGTGCCAGCAACAACCCGGCTGCCCCTCTGTGCTGTGCCCTGCCTGGAGGAGCCCAGCCCTGCCAGGAGCCGTGCTGCTGTCAATACAAGGACGGGTCATTGAGCAGGTCTGGCTCCTGTCCTTCCTGCCCCAGGTCTCGGATCCAGCCATCCCAGCACAGCTCCTGCTTACATCTAAATTGGTTTCCACTCCTGGCTCTGCCCTCAAGCTGCAGATGTGACCTGGCCAGGTCCTAAAGCGATGGCGAAACATCCCCACTTTGATGGGGGTCCCAGAGCTACCCCCAGCCTCAGGGCTGTGCTCACCCTGCATTGCTGAACCCCTGCAGCCCCACGCGTGCTGCGCAGACCCCCTGCTTGGTGCTGGTGAGGGGGACCCCAACCTGTGTCCTCCCTGGGCAATATGGGAGCTGGGCCCTGCAACACAGACTCAGAGGCAGCTGGACATGGCTTGCA